AGTAACGGCGCCTGGTACTCGATGACAAGGGGAGTAACGGCGCCTGGTACTCGATGGCAAGGGGAGTAACGGCGCCTGGTACTCGATGACAAGGGGAGTAACGGCGCCTGGTACTCGATGGCAAGGGGAGTAACGGCGCCTGGTACTCGATGACAAGGGGAGTACTGGCATCTCTTTTTCCCCACTTTAAGCACTGTATTTGTATAACCATTATGTTCACTAAACATGCTTTATGCAAACAAATCTGAGAATGTTGGGTAACTAGTCACCCGGACACAGAAGGAAACGCCATTAAGATGGGCCAATGATGTTCACACGCAAAGCACACCCTCTTGGGCGTTCACAATGGCCAGGGTTTGTCGTACACAAATGCAGATTCACCTGCAGGTGGCACTGTGGTGTCACACTGCTGTTCCTCTGTCAATGTTCCCTAGACGTCCAGCCCTCGGTGTCTTTGTGGCCTCGTGGTCGCTGTGAGCCTGGGACTCTGACTTCTCAGTGCCCTTGTCCTTGCTGTCGCTGCCAGACCTGAAACCGAAAGACCAGCAGATTTTGCAGATACTGCAGAGGTTGTTAGGGATGTTGGGAATGGGGGGGGGAAGGGGGGGCAGGAATTCATCTTCTGTTCTGTTACACCACCCTCAGCCCACATTCTGGATGGTCAGACTCATGCTGGTTTTTGAATTAACAACGTCACTAACATAATGTAATTAAATAGCTACATTAATTAAATAATGTAATTAAAAAGCATTTTCTTGAGGCTAGGTGAGAGTTAGACTGAGGCACTCATATCTTATCATTAAAAGGTCTCTGGCAAGTCTCACTTTTTTTTAAAGAGCTTCTTGAAGGAGCTCCTGAAGCCACCTTTGTGGTCCTGCTTACGGCTCCTCTCGCTGAAGGCAGTCTGGCCGCTCTCCTCCATGCTGCCTGTCCATCTGGACTCCTCTGCCCAGGAGGGTTGGGCCCCGCAGTCCTATTAAAGGGCATGGAGGTTAGAGCCAGATCCCCTCTACAAACTGCCCGTAAGACTCCCAACTGCCCGTTTTTTCCCATTGAGAATGATCTTCCTGGAGCAGGAAACATGATTAGGAATTTGTACTAGAAGTGATTCATACGCAGTTCAGACCCAAGAAACATTTTAAAAAGTAGATGTTTTATAAGGGTAGAGTGTTGTCACCTTGTCGTGATCTCTGCAAGGCTCTTCCTCTGTCATGGTCCGGCTGTCGACCTCCAGTTTCTGCAGGGGGCCGACACTTCTCTGGAGCTTACGGCTGGTGGAACCTTTGCTGGATTGGCGCTCCAGTTGGGCGTGCTGGTGGCTGCTGTGTGGGCTGTGGCTTTTCAGGGGGCTGAGCTCAACAGAGTTGCCCCTGCTGTCGGCAGCGATGGAACTGTCCAGCTGCAGCCCGTTCAGCGACTTGCTCTTGCACTGTACGGCCTGTAGGGAGCGATGGCGTGACATGCCAACCTGATCCTGCAAAACACAGCCACGGCCAGGGTACCTGTGACTTCCGTCCTGGTTCCCCCTGCCGGCATATGGCTCCTGGCCGCGGTTCTTTGGGCAGCGGATGAAGGTGATGTCTACACTAGAGTCTGAGGAGGCACTGGAGCAGTTGTCGAAGAGCGGGGCATTGTGGGTGGACTGTCCTTCCTCAAAGAACCCCACCAGGCTTGTCCCGTCTGACATGAGAAACTGGCCTGTGGCATCCGCCAGCGCCGACCCTGTTAATCCATGCTTACAGGGTATTGGATCCGTGTTGGGGCACTTCCGCTCTGTTTCCAGAATGCTATGAAGAGCAGAACAGTTGAGCTGGGGGTCTGCATCCGGGGCAAAGAATAAGACCGGCAAGGACCCCTCGGGGGACTCAGGGCACTGGTGCACAGCCTCCCAGTCCTGGAATCGCTTACGCTGCATCTGCTCCAACAGCTTCTGCTTGCTTCTCTTTGCCTGGCTGGTGTAGTGCCTTGGAATGGAGAAGACGGAGAGAGGAGCTGTTACGAAGGTCTGAGAGAGAGAGCGTGAACGGTGCCACGTCACTTTGGGCTTACGGCAAGGCACCGCTGGGGGAGGCTGGTTCCTCTGCCTGGATAACGCAGTCCACCGTCTTGATGAGCGGTTTCATGGCCGACCTGCACCCCAAAAGCCACAGTGGCTGTTTCATTATAAGGACTGTACTTTATTCTAAAGCAATGTCTCTCAGTCCAGTGTTCAAGGACCCCCCAACAGTCCACAGTTTTGCTCCCTCCCAGCCAATCAAGAAGAACAAAAATCTGGTACTGGTGTGTTGGGAGCTGGGAGGGAGCAAAAATGTTATTGTTATATAATGTTATATATCTTAAATAGAACCAGTTTTTTTCCATTATACACCTTTTGACACTAACAGGGGACCAACTGCACCTTAAAAAGGTACCACAGATACTTGGAGGATCTTCCTCCATTGAGTAGGGGCCTCACCGCTCCTTCCGGTTCTGTGTGAGGAGCCCCTCGTTGTGCTGGAGCAGGTGGCTGTACTGGAGCAGGTGGCTGTACTGGCCTATGAAAGCCCTGAACCTCTGGATGCAAACCAGCAGCAGATAGTGGTCTGGGTGCTTGGAGTCTGTCTGCTTTAACAGGTTCTGCAACGACGTCAAGTTCGAGTCAGTGTTTGTTTTTTTTTGTTTTTTTAATCGAATTCCTCATAACCTATGAAGACCACTTAGTACTTCTATAACTAAAGATCTGTTTCTTCAGTCTCATCTCTGTATCTTCAGCAGCAGACCTTATAGAGGCATGTTCCTGAACATCAGAGGACACTGGAGCTTTCCAAGCATAAAATTCACCTGAAGTAGGATGAGGTATTCTGGGACGCGCTGCACAGGTAGAAGGAGCAAGGTTTGGAGTGGGGGTTGATTTTCATCTCCAGTGATGTCACCCTGGGATATAAGTGTCCCGTAAAACACATTTTGCTTCATGATTAAAAGGAAATATAATTAAATCAAACACAGCCAGCCTGCCAAGGCCGGGCTGCACACAGCAATATCCAGTCTCAGCGGCTTCATGTGACTCTGGTGACATGTGACTAGAGCCAGAAAATAAAAGCCCACTGAACATCATGTGATGTTACCTGAAAGAGTGTGGTGGCTTTGAGGGAGGTGGCACTGTACACGCTTACTGCAGATAGGCACTCGGGGAGTTCCTTCAGGTAGGCCACGTAGGAATCTAAGAAATCACTCTGCACGGTCCACAATGATGAGAAAAATGCTTGGCGGTTAACAGACGAAAGTGGCCACAGAATGAAATGATTGCAGGTTCTGGAAAGTTCACGTCTTATCCTGAAGTGCTTATTCCATATGACAGGCTTTCAGTGACCTGCTAACCTCACTGACCCCGACCCCCCCACAGATCCACCCAGTGCTTTAATAGGTGCAATAATACAGCCCTGACCACAAAACAGCCCCGAATGATTGTTTGATCTTTGTGGGGTTGATCCTTCTGCTAGAGGCTCCTTTATGTTCCCTGTAGAGGAACACCTGCCTTATTTAGGTTCTTAGATCAATATGTGCTTAACTAATCTGGGCTGAAAGGTTCTCGGGTCCCAGCCTCTCTTGTTTCATGGCTACCCATTGCGGGGGAGGGTCCACTTTCTACCCCCTGCTCCTCTGTAACATCAGCCCCCCCCCCCCCCTTCACCTCTGTGCTGGTCAGCCTCATGAACACGTCTCCCATGATGCCTTGCCACTGACACCTCAGCACACGTTCCTGGAGGACGTGCAGCAGCTCCAGGTGCTGCTGGATGAGGAAGCGTAGGGAGCTGGGGAAAGGCCTGGGGGGTGGTTAGGGTTAGGGGGGGAGAGACGGGGGGCAGGAGTGAGTCATCCTCTCATAAGCTGAAGGGCATTACCCAAATACGATGACAGCGCTGCTGACCAGACCAGGAATTTTCCACACAAAAAGCTTATTGATAACACTAGCAATGGTTGTATGGACACCACCCACGGGCTGTGATGTGGGGGTCAGAGAGTTAAATTAAAACGTGTCACCCCCCCATCACATGCTTCTCAGATGCCTCTCACCGACATGACGGTTTATTCCAGGGAAGACAAACAACTAAAAGCACACAATAGGACTTCTGCAAAACTGCATAGACGGGAAAAAGGGTGGGTCCACTTCCTGTCTGTACAAACAGGGGCCCCTGGGGGTTAAATGACTGTTCAAAGAAAGGTGCCAGAGTCTGTGTATAATTGCCGGCAGATGGAAACACAAAGACAGATTCATTCCCCTCCACATACTGAAGAATAACACCGGGCTAAAGGGATTTGGCCTGCTTCTGTTCATCTTAAACTTAAGTGCAAAATAATGCGTAAATTACTGATCAAATGGAATGAAATGAGGGGGTGTTTTTGCTTTCAGGATTATTCTCAAAGCATGTTTGGTACCCTCGTAGGAATTAATACAGTGCGGCTCTGCGTTTGAAGGAAATGTGATTACTTTGGTCTGAAACGGCGGTGCTTTTGCTAGTAATATCTCACAGCCACATTCTCCTGCTGCATTTTCATGTAAGAGATTAATTTTCCGACCTGGGTAATTTTTCAGATAATTCTATTTGCACCCCCCCCTATTTAAAGGGGACCACTTCAGTTCAAGTCAGTTTAGTGTTTGATGAAAAACACAAAATAGTGTGGGGGCATGGATTAAATTACAAAATTGTGAGGGGGGACACCTCTGCCTGCACCTGTATTTCACACACTAATGTTTACTTTTTGCAGTATATTTTTGTTTCATGGTAAATGTTTGTTTGTCTGCACTTCAGGTACCTTGCTGCTGTATGCATAAGAATTTCCTTGTGGGATCAATAAAGGCTCCCTTACCTTGACGGCCCCCTCAGTACCTCAGTGCACATAACCTTGAACACAGTAACCGGTACTTGTGTGCTCGCCTTTCTTCATCTCGCGCGTCCCATTTTCCGGAACATTCCCCATGCCTACCGCTTGTCCTTGACATGAAGGGCCTCCGAGCCGTTGAATGTGATGTTGGCCTTGAGCAGCACAGACAGGTAGGAGACGTACAGCCTCTCTGACTCCAAGAGCTCCAGGGCGGTCATCCACCTCGCACCTGCCCCCCACCCCCCGCCCCCAAGAACACTGTATGAGAATGGCAGTATGAGAATTCATCAGCTGATGAACGATCAGCCGGCTCTGATCACGTGATAAAAAGGTGCTGAGCTTTATCACCAGGAAAATAAGATAGTGACCTTTCAAATCAACAAATAACACTGAAGTTTATACAGAGGCTTATATAGGACCAGCGGTGCTGTGGATTCCTGTTACATCCAAATCATATTCTATTCCTTATCTTTTTCATTATTAGTCGTAGAACTAGGTATCATTGAAGCAATTCACAATAGTTCACAGAAGTGCATTCGCCCAAGGGTACAACAGAGAACCCCGTGCTTTAATTTGGACCTGCAGCCTTTCTGGTCCCGAGCCCAGATCCCCGCCTGCCGTTTTGCCCCAGCGTGGCCTGGCTCACCGTTCTCCTGGGTGTCCGGTCCATCGGTGGCATCCTTGCTGTCCCTGTGCTCTCCCCACACCGGTGACGGGGACATGCCCCGCTGGGCCCGGGGACTGCCCACGTCCTGCTGCGGGCTGCTGGTATCTGTAACCAACGCCGTACAGCTGTGGCTGTCTTTGTGGGCGTGGCTTAGAGAAACAGCCTTTCCTGCGATGGGGAGAGACGTTTCCTCACATTAAAATGAACAGCTCAGAAGTGCTTTTGTCTAAAGAAAACATTATTTTTGTATCGGACTATATCCCATATAAATATTTTAATGCCACTATTCTGCCTAGTTGGACAGCCAACTCTATGATAAGATGCGATGAACTTTACTGATCCCAGAGGGAAAATCTTGTGCATATAGCAGCAAAGAATGTAAAGGGCATATATGAATACACAATTTTTGTTACAGTTCACTCATTAAAATAGTGCATTCCAATGGTAATGGGGAAAACATATACTAAATGTATCCATAAAGGGGTGTCATGTGACTGTGTGGGCAGCACTGTCTCCTCCCACCTCCAGGGGTGTGGGTTTGAATCACAGCCCTGCTCTGTATGTGTGGTGTTCACATGTTCTGCCTGCATCTAGTACGTTTCCTTACACAGTCCAAAGACATGCAGTCAGCCTACATAAAAATGCCCATTAGTGTGTGGGCAGGGAGATTCTATTTCACACCGGGTTAAATGGCTGGCATGTGACACGGCTTGATTTTGTGCAATGACCTACTTCTGAAGAATGGATAGTACTGAAACAGGTGAGAAATGTGCTTCTGCGTAATTGATGGGTTATGCATAGGTGCGGTTAGATGCTAAGGCGGCCTGCTAAGCCACAAGATGGATCCAGTGAGTTACTGACAAATGAGAAAAACGTGATTTCTTTGCTAGCGTTAATGCCATCCAAATACATTTGGACAAAGAAAGAGCTAATTATCAGGTAACTAATGTTTTTGACCAACATCAGAAAAAGAGCTGGAGGGTAATGTTAAATTCAGCAAATACTTTTCAGAAATATGCCAATGGAGTTCCCACACTTCACCACATATTCGTCTGTAATAACGTCTTTGCAGATATTATGAGTTTATCCAAGTCTACTTGAATCTAGAATCCATCATGTTTTAACCCTTATGACTAATGATCAGGATAAGATGAATAGATGGAATCACATTTTGTAATTTGTAGTCATAGCAATAACATTACTGCAGATTGTTCTCAGGTTATAGTTTATAGGACGTTCTTCATCTCTAGCCCCCCATTTTTACAGAAACACATAATTCATCCATGGTTGGTGAACATGCCCACCAGGAAGGACGACCTACCAGGGACGGATGAAGGACTTCTCTGGGAAGAACCGTTCGGGAGGCAGGCGAGGTAGTGATGGAGGACGCTGTGTTCCGGCTGTCCAAGGGGCCACCGAAGGCCGTCGGCCTGGACATCATCCCTGGAGGCTCTCCTGTGGAAGCCATCAGAAGGAAGTGGGCACCCAGCTGTAGACTGTAGAGTCATAAGGGGCTTTTCCACTGCATCAGGTGCCGTACTTTTAGTACTTTCCCTCCCCCCCCACCCCTCATCATGATGTCCAGACAGACAAAGAAATGAAAAAAATCTCCAACCAGCTATTGTGGCCCTTGCAATGTGAGAATTGCATGCTCATAACATGGGATGCTGGTATTAATATCATTACCGAATGCCCCGCCTCGCCTTGTGATGTCATTCAACAGTGGTACCAGTTCTTACGCCAAAGGAAAACCAACACCTCGAAGTACCGAACTTTTGGTATTTTTCTGAAGTAGCTAAATCATGATACGTGGTGCAGTGGAAAAGTGGTGTTAACTCTTATCTACCTCTGCTGAGCAGAGAGGAGCTCCCTGCCCACCTCCACCTGGAACAGCTCCAGACCCCGATGCATCTCCATGTTCCTACCGTTGACCTCCTTCATATGAGCCATGGCAACAGTCAGGTCCTCCTGCTCGCGGCCAGAAGACAGGAGAATGGTTACCATAAAGACTATCCTTACCTCCAACAGGATTTATGTTGACCTGTAGGTTCTGGACCAGGTGGGCAGGTTTCAATTCTTGTTAACTTCATGTAAGGGATTATCCAGCTAATTTAAGGTGTTCACAGGTCTCCATGTTTGTATTCTGTAAAAACAGCTACATTCTGGCCCGTCAGCCTGTGTGATAAGACCTGAGAATCCTTTTCTCCACATTGTGGTGACGTGGCCCCATGACACCCTGCTCAGTTGTTAATGATAAAGGCACGAGTCCATATTGTCCACCAGGGGGCCCCCTCCTGCACTAATGCTAGCAGATGGCTCCCAGACAGTGGGACAGTACCAAGCGTTCTCAGTATGTTGCGAGCTAATCGTAGCGTGCCCTTCCTGGAATAGGTACCTTGAAGGTGTTTAACGTGTTCTTTACGCCCAGTATCTTCTCGTCCATGTCGCTGTGGTAACTCCTCACCCGCTCCTCCAGGCTGCCGTCCCTCAGCTGGAGGCTGGAGAGGTCCTCGATCGCCCCCATCAGGCCAGCCTTCAGCTCGGACACCATGGCCTGCAGCTGGGTTTGGGGCAGGAGCGCGGAAAGCAGACCAGCAGACCAGTAATGGGATACAGGGCAGCGATGTAAAAGCAGTAAAACATTAATTATCACTATAAAAGCTGGAATGTTAATCATCAATGTAAATCATTGTCTTGAATCATATTGCTGTAGTTGTGCACACCATATTTTTATTTTTAATAGTGTCTTCATTTTTTTGTGGTCATCTGGGTCTTAATATATTTGTTTATTGCCATCCGTGTTCTTGCCAATGTCTCTCATTCATTACCAGTGTCGTCATACTGCTCTTCACATGTAGATAGAGAGATTAGTGATACATGTTAAAATGCCCAGATTCAGCTGCCCAGCCCTATTGCTGTACACCGGACACACGATCATGTGAACGAGCTCAGCAAGCAGATGAAGGCGAATTTGAGGGCGTGTGTTTACAGCCCCCGGACTGAACAAAGACCCGAACAAACCCCAGTATGTCTGAAACACATGAAAAGGTGCCTCGATCTGGGATATAAAATTCATCATTTGTGGCTTTAAATGTAAGCTGTGTCCATCTACCTTAGCAATCTGCAAGGTCACCTCCTCCATGTCGTTGTCTTGGTCTAAAAAAAATTTAAATGGTCTTAGTAATCTCCCTCAGATTTCGAAAAGGAAGCATTGATTATTTTGCCAGCAGACTGAGGCAGTTTGAAAATATGACATATTAAACAGCACCCAGTGTTATCCTGCTAATGTTGCAAGACAGAACCGTTTTATGAAAGTTTAGGCTGAAACAACAAGTTAAACAGTTAAGAAATTAAGTAATTGTGTTGCAAAATGGAAGCCAGCTGATGGATATTTTCATTTACTTATTTACGATGTAATGGAAAAGTCTTTGAAAAAAAACAGTCAGGCTGCTGTTTTTGATTTAAAGAAAAACATCTTATGAAGTCCTAAATTTATAAAAGATAATGGCAACATCTCACACGGCAAGTTTGTAAAAGATGTTGACATGTGTAAGTAGAAACCCAGCAGCAGGGAAACTCTTCAATGCCGGATTGTTGTTAAAGACAAAAAATTCATTAATTCATGGTAAAACAGGAATGTTACAGTGGCTGAAGCTGAATTGCATCACAAGCGGATATTTTAAATGTCTGCTTATGCATATCACTACTCCATATTTGACCTCTTGCTACACTGACATTTACAAAAATGTTGCAGCCAAAATGAATCCTCTACACTAATTTGTTCTGACAGTCGACCACAAGTAAAGCACACAGACTTCGCTCATGCGTTCTAAAAGAGTTAATCAACGGATCGATGGATACTTATTGGTTATCTTTCTTGTAGAAGCAATGTTAACAGTGAGTATATTTGAGGCTCCCTGGAGGACAAACACTAACTGGATGTTTCCAATGTAGCTCATTATGCCTGAAAGTTGTTTGTAAATCATCTTAGAATTTCATAAATATTTCATACCTGGTTATAAAGATTTCTGAAGACTTCAACCCTAGTCAAGTACGAATTCCTTAAAAAAACAATAAAAAAATATAAAATAACTGAGGGAAAAAACAATTAGACAGGTGTAGGACAGTCCTGGTGATGCATTCTTACCTTCATGTTCGCTGTTTTCCATGGCAGCCCAGCGCCTGGGCAGAGCTCCTTGCCCCTGTTCACCCCTGTTTGGGAGTTCTGCCTACAGCCCCGCCAATATCTCCAATTTACCATGTGAGTTTGATGATACCTCCCACAAAAGGGACCCTTGTTGTGCAGTGAGCGATGGGCGGCGGGGGAAGAGGCTGAGTGCGACACAGCAGGGAGACGTGTCACCACCTCCCCCCAGAATGCAAAATGATCACTTTTTTCCCCATTTCCTTTTTAAGCCAAGGCCTAATTCAGAATTGGGCTGACAATTAATTAAACCATTCAGCAGGTGCAGCAGAGAGTACTCAGGAAAATTAACCAGGTAGCTGGGATGCATTAATGGTCATTAAATGACTCTCTATTATATACTATGTGCTCTGTTTTTCTGTTCTAGATGTTTTCATGGAGTTAGAACAAAAACAAACATGTGAGACAATCAAAATCTTCCATAAATATTGCCCATGTCCATAGGTAAAACTATTTCCTCCAGGAGTAAACTTTATGGTTAAGATAAACTCTCTACTCTCTCTAAATACTATGTTTATGTTTTATAGCCTAAAAAAATACTTGCTTTCTTAACCAATATCATGTAATCACAGTGTTGGGCATTTCAGGTCCAGAAGCTACAAATCCAGATCAGGATTTTGTTTCTAACACCCAGTTGAGTACTCTGTGACTGTGACTCTTTATGCTCAACTGGTTGGTAGAAACAAAATTTTGGGCTGGATTTATAGCTTCTGGACCTGAAATGCCCAACACTGCCTGGTTCCTATATGCCTGCTTGTGGCTCTTTAATATTAAAAACCGTTAAAGTTTAACCCTTAACCAAACATTTATTAGCAAAGGTTGGACTCAAACCAAAGCAGTGTTCAACTGTTGAAGAAACCCTGACCAGTACATACAATTATATATATATCCTTAAAGACTCAGCCCTTCCACAGTGAACTGCAAAGCTGGGACCCACTGTAGAGGTATAGACAAGCAGATATTTAGGAGACAAGCAACGAGGAGCTGCTCCCTAGGGAACCTGTACTTCATAAAAAGAAATGGACCTCTGTCAGGATTTTACTGGCATTCCTTTTGTTGTTGAACATTCTTACGTGATTTATGGCCAATAATACAAAGAATATGGGCAATAATACATAGCAGATGGGCCATAAATGCACTAAACGGATTAGTTCTAGTGTGGTTATGCATCATATTGCCTGAAACAGCTAGATGAAGATGAAGTTCATTTCAGCATGGAAAAATGTCTTTCGATTGACAGAATTTTCATTGTTGACTAAAGCATGAGTTTAACATTTGTGTCTCCTCCTGTGCCATTTTTCTCCTGTCCGATTTCTGTTCTCTGTGTTCCTTCTGCCTTAGCTGGGCGTCCTCCAGGAACACAGGAAGTTATCTTATGCTACCACTTACGTAGTTTATGCCTTATTATCAATGTCACAAGTTTATGCCTTGTGCCCATTCTACTTGCAGCAATGCAGCAACAGGAATAAAAAGCTACTTCAGGCTAGAACAAGAGTTTTGTGTTTCTCTGAAGGTCACACCATACCCATAAGTCCCTTTTTGAACAATACTCTGATTCTTGGGCTCATCTGCTTGCTGCATGCATGTGGCTGGCTGTAAGGATTTGTAGCTTTATCTTTACTATATATCGTTCCACACCTCCTACTATGCCCTCAGCTTCCTACCAAACAGAACAGAAAATTCTGTTGAGACCACCGGCAAACTTCTTCACATCTGAAGATCTAATGGCTTTAACATGTGTTACAACCAGAAAAACGTTATAAAGGTGGATATTTTGAACGGGAAAACTGCTGCTCTGCTCTAGAGTGTCAGAAATGCAGAGGCACATGTAATGCATTATTGTGCATTTGCTGGTTAAACTTGTGTTCATGCTCATTCTCTGCTACAATGTGACACGTCAATCTCTGCGGCTATTAAAGGCTCAGAACAGTGATCCATGTAAGTGAGGGGGTGCACCCCAACCAATGTGCTCTCTTAGCACAGAAAAAGCAACATGTGCTCCTCCGGCACGCTACGTGACCAACAGACAATGCTTCCTCAGCATCTTGTACAGAGACCACATGAAGCCTCAGCTGAACATCAGGCAACCCTTGTTGTGTGTGATGATTTACCTATCCATCAATTTTCTGAAACTGCTAGTCCAACCAAAGTTGCCAGGGGGTCCACAGACTATCCCAGAGGCTATAGGTGCAAGGCAAGAATGAATTCAGGATGGGATACCTTTGGGCACTTTGGAAACTGGAAACTTTGGAAAATTAGCCTCAGCGTGTTTTTGGACTGGGGGGGAGCCAGAGCACCCAGAGGAAATCCCACGATGGCACAGGGAGAACAAGCCAACTCCACACCCATGAAACCATGGTGGAGACACGAACCCTGGTCCCAGAGGTGTGAGGCTACAGTGCTCACTGCATCACCTCACTGCCCAGTAATGATTTATTTCCTCAAAAATAATCATTCTCACCATTAGGCTAACTGCAGCATGTCAATTCCATGTTTCTTTCATGTAATCTTTAGATGCGTGGTAATTATTTATGTATTAATTACAGAAACCTCAAAGATAAGGCTATTTGTCTGAAATGGTTCTACATTAATATTACTGTCCAATGTAATTCCCGTCTGGAAAATACTGACGAGATAAAACTAGAAAGAAGAAACGATCAGCTGATGAGAGTTAGTGTCTGGACTGATATCACAAATATTCACTTGTGGCAGAAAACCGAAGAAAAAGTAGCCAATTTCGTCCTTCATTAATTTACCTAATGTTGGTGGCAGTCTGGACAAAAAAAAACAATTTGTAGTTTAGTGGTACTCATTTTTATTGTAAGTTTTGCTAAAACGTCGGTTTCCATGGAAGATAGAATAATTTCTGAATATTTAACGATAATAATCTATTATAGAACTTGTAAAACAAAGACGAACGACACAGTAATATCAACGTATTAACCAACTGAACAATACTGAAACGTGTACATTACATTCAAACCATTTTTAACCAAACGGCATATATGGTGGGGAACACACTAATTGCATAACGCATACTTTTAGCAAGCTTCCTAGCTTATGGGCTAACAGCAACGTCACAAACCATCACCATAACAACAGCCCACTACACATAACAGGAAGTAAAACCTTTAACCTTTGACAAGCGGAGCCAATGAGAAACATGCCAATGTGCCGGCAAGGAAAGTGGGGCTTCTAAGGTTAGAAAAATTATATTTTTACGACCCATGTGTTGGTTCTACTCCGATAACAATTTCTATATTAAAATGAGCGTTGCGTGAAGTAATGTTAGTGGGAACGTGGTAGAATCGTTTACTTTACCATCCGGTATTTGACAGCGAGCTCCAGTTCCGACTGATTTACTAACTTAAGCGACGACTTCACGATCTTGTATTTATGTAACATTGTGAACAAGTTTCTTTTTTGTGCCTGAGTCCCGCGCGCATAAAAACACCTCGTCTCCCTGTGCAAATATTTCCTTGACGTTACACAAACGGTTATATGCTTTGTCGGTGTTATAGCTAGCTGTTTTACAACAACTATACCACAAGACAAAATAAAGGATACTGTGTGATGGAGTCGTTTTAAAATTAGGCCTATTATTATTGTTGTTGCTGTTATTATTAACATTTAAAACTTTGTTTTAAAACTTTGTCATTTAACTATGTATGACAATATTAATAGTGAGAATCCATGATTTCAGGATTTAAAGATCAATTTATAGGATTCCATATTCAAGGTTTGTGCTGGAAGGAAGTAAAAAGGACAAAGTTGTAATCAGTTAGATTTTCTGTATATTTGTTTACATATGGCATTAAGTTTGTAAACTAATAGATGTTTTGTTCAGAGAAGGGTGGAGGCAGGAATGAGTGGGAGAAGGAGAGGGAAGCCAAACCGAGGAGGGGGGCATTTCAACAAACCCCGTGGAGGTGGGGGGGGAGGAGGCGGCAGCAAGAAGGGAGCCAGCAGTGGCTGGGATGATGGAGATGACTTCAGCCTTGACTTCGGGCCCGGCCGATCAAGCAAGTAGGAACAAACATGGAATATTATGGATTGACTGTATGCGTTGTGTACTGTCGTCTTTGCTCCATGCACATTTCTACTTTTATTTCTTCTTGGTCTGTAGAAGCAGTCATGGAGGTGTGCGGAGTGCCAATACTGGGCGAGGAAGAGGAGGACTTGGAAAGCGAGGACGGGGAAGGGGCAGGGGCGCTGGGATGGGGGTGCCAAAGTCCCTCCTGAGCGAGCGTCCCAGGATGAGGCGGACCGACGAGAGCAGCCGGCCCAGGCCTGACCTACCGCAGATGCCTCTGCAGAGGATCCACATGACCTCAGAGAACCAGGCGCTGGTGAAGGAGCTGCTGCGGGAGCTGCAGACTCAGGACTTCGAGGACCCAGACGAGTAAGTCGTGCTTCAGAGCCTTTTTCTCTGGCCTGTCTATTGGTCAAGGTAGTGAAGCATATTGCTTCAGACCTGCTTTTTCTCTCAGTTGCATAACTGACTTTATGCTCCTCCTCCTTCAGAGAGTCAGGTTCTGAACCCGAGGAGGAAGTGGTGGAAGAGTATGATGAACTAGACTACCGTGAGGACGGACAGTACTGGGAGACGCATGATGAGCCGATGGAGAGAGCGGAAAGTCCAGCGGTTCCTTCAATGGAAGCAGAAACTGAGGAGGGGAGTCGTCCCTCTGAGCCAACAGTCTCTCTTTTTGCTGTTGGGAAACTGTGCAGGTAATTGTCATGAGTCATTTTTGTAATGGAGCTTAGCAAGATCCACTTTTTGTTACTAACTAGTGATGTCAGGAAAGGGTTAACCAGCGTTGGTCATCCGTCATTCTTTTGAAGCATTATAGGCTTGGGAAATGCACAGCGAAACGTATCACCTGTCTGTACAAGGCAAACCCATGGTGATGAATTTGCTAACCACAGCGCTGAGTCAGCATATCAAAAGAAGCCCATAGATGCATTAAAACACCAAGCAAAGGCGCAGGTGCTGATGACTTTGTCGCTGCAGGTATGGCTTCGATAGAGAGCGCAGCAAGCGTGCGCTGGAGGCTGGGACCGGCGAGGTGGGGGCCACCCTGGAGCAGCTACTCCTGCAGGTCTTCGCAGAGCGATATGGGCCCGGTGCCTCCGTCCCTGAGGGCCTGCAGAGCATCCCCATGGATGAGTGCCTTACCCAGCGGCAGGAGGAGGCGTTGGCACTGGCGGCCATCTTTGGGGAGCGCTTCACAGAACGCATCGTCAACAGCGTGTGGACCGTCTCTCTGGACCCGCATCTCTTCTCCAAGCCTTTGGAGGGTGTCCAGGACGGCACCGCGCAGAAGGTAGCCTCAGTCAACTCGAAGGATGTCTGCAGGTTCTACCTGAAGGGAGCACGGTGCAGGTTCGGCGAAAAGTGCAGATTCAGGCACCAGGTTCCCTTGGACCTGGAACATCCCGCGGACCTGGCGGGTCCGAGTCGTCCGGGCTTCAGCAGCTACTCTCCCCCCGAGTACGAATTGGAGGTTCGCTTCTGCAAAGACAACCGCTACCCCTTTCAGGCGGCCCTGGTGGCCTTCAGTACCAATGACGAGAAGATCAGCTCGGCTGGCCGGCTCCAGGTCACAGAGTACCTCTATGGCGAAGCTCTGGCTTCTGCCCGGTCTGGCGAGCCGGCGGTCTACACGCTTATCACCTGCTTGGAGGACGAGGCCAGGATCATGGAGCTGCTGGCGGCCTCCCATCACAAATACAGCTCTCCCCCACCTGTGGTGATGCCACCTAGCGCCCCCCCAAGGCCCAAGGCCACAAGAGGCACCACAAGCAAAATGGAACCTAGCAGCACTAATAGCATAACCAGCAAGCATCTGGAAGGTGAGTTCCTCGCGCAATGAGGACTTTGCATGATATCAATATGAATGATGTGTTAATATTTTTCATTGAAAGTAGGAAATCTGTGAATACGGAGCTCAGTGGAGGTGCTGCATCGTGTGTTTATGGTTCAGAGGCGGAGAACTTAGATCAGAGGTTCAGAGACGGAGGTCTTGGACAGTTACCAGAGGAGCAAGAGGAGCAGGAGCAGGAGGACGAGGCGCAGGAGGTGCTCATGGAGAAGGAGAGCTACGTCAAGCTGAGGAAGAAGCTGACGGAGAGATATGCAGCCAGAACGGAGGCCCTCCAGCAGGACAATGCCAAGCTGTGCCGGCAGTTTCGGAGCAAACGGGTGAGCCCTCAGAACCCCCCCCACCGATTTTTATGCATTTTGACCTCAGTTTGTTGCCTTGGAGGACAGTGGCACTGTGAATGTAACGTATACTACATGCAAGGACTTTGATAATATACTCCGTGGCAGTATTTCCCAACTCGGTCCTTGGGACCCCTAGAAGGCCCATGTTTTTGCTCCCTATCCAGCCCCTACCGGGACCTGGGCGGGAGCAAAAACGTGGACTGGGTTGGTAAACACTGCTGTATGGTACCCGGTGCCAAGGTATGATTTCACATTTCTTTGCAAGGGTGAATTTCTATAAGACATTAGTTGGAGAGTGAAATATTGGGGCCAAAACGTTGTAAAAGATTTCTTTGAAACTGTTTATCGGCCTTTTCCCTGCACTGTTATATCGGTGGAATTAGTCAAAATCAAAATAAATGTGTGGCTGTTCATTTGAAATTAATTAGAGATGATATTAGAATTTCAAAACAAACCTCAATAGCATTTCAATATTCTTAAAAGCAAATCCAGTTACTTTCAGCACTTATCCCATATCACAGTTCTAATGGATCATTTGCTGTGTTACTCTGTGTGTTTGATCTCACGGCTTCTCAAAATGGTCGACATTTCCCCTTCCACTCTGATGGTGGCGCTGTTGCTTCCCTTTCAGTCCTCCAGGCGCTATCTCTCAATGCTCCAGGAGAGGCAGAACCTCCCAGCTTGGCAGGAGAAGGAGCGGATTCTGTGTCTGCTGAAGAAATGTCAGGTGTTGGTCGTGAGCGGAATGACTGGGTGAGGACTTCCCTCAATTCGTTTTATTTCTTAATTAAGGCCGGCTCCCGTGGCTGCGCTAGCTTAGCCGTTAGCCATGCATTCATTATGCACATTATGACCTGTGGGCCTCAGGTGCGGCAAGACTACCCAGATCCCGCAGTTCATCCTGGACGACAGCCTGAAGGGGCCCCCACACCGGGTGACCAACATCATCTGCACGCAGCCGCGCCGCATCTCCGCCATCTCCGTGGCCGAGCGCGTGGCACAGGAGCGCGCCGAGCGCCTCGGCAACTCCGTGGGCTACCAGATCCGCCTGGAGACCGTCCGGGTTGGTGCCGTCCGCGTCCCATCATGCACTAGTGCAGCGTGGCCACCCGTACTGAAACGGAGCATGACCTCTGTGCCAGTTAGCGGCCTGTAGCAGCATCACGTAGAATGTTTTTAATAACTTCGATCTCTGAGTTGTTAAAAGAGATCAATAAGACCGTTTAAAGGATCCATTAATGGTGATTCTTTTCTTATTTATGACATATGGGACCTACGTCACAGAATCCTCTTAGCTACTCCGACATTATTAGACAAGCAGTAATCCCATAATTCTTAGCGATCCTCTTTTTGTCCTCCCCCCTCCCCCTGCCAGTCCTCGCTGACCCGGCTGCTGTACTGCACCACGGGGGTGCTGCTCCGAAGGCTGGAGGGGGAGCCCGAACTGGGAGGGGTGACCCACGTCATCGTGGATGAGGTGCACGAGCGCACGGAGGAGAGGTAGGCCGCTTGTCCGACTCCGCCTCTGCCCCCGACTCACGCTCAGTGTGAGTGATGACCTCACTTCCTTCTCTGTTAGTGACTTCCTGCTGCTGGTCCTGAAGGACGTGATGGCCCAGCGGCCGGACCTGAAGGTCATCCTGATGAGCGCCACGCTCAACGCCAACCTCTTCTCCCAGTACTTCTGTGGCTCTGAGACGGTCCACATCCCAGGTCAGGGCTGCGGCTGTCCTGGGAGCCTCGCTTTACTGGGTCACAGCGTCTCCTATAAGCCTTTGGCTGTCCTGCCCCTGATCACACAGGGGTATACAGGGGTCCAAGCAGGCCATTTACTATGTAGGCTCTCTTTGATGGCTTCTCTTAATTACAGACCTCATCCCCAATATAGTCAAATATGCGTGATTGAATCCCTTTGTGTACTGCACTTATTCAAGGTGGAAGTGAACTTTTTTTCACTTCTTATGGTGCTTTGCCATAATTTTATAGAAGGAGATGAGCATAGTTTTCCTCTGGGGATTAATGAAGCATCCATCCATCAATAGTACTAAGTGTTCCCCTCAAGTTGGACTGATTACACCAGTGGTGTGCTGGTAGGGCTGGTGCTGTTTAGAAGCAGCACATACAGCATTTTGAAGCCCAGCTTGACCCGCTTTTCACTGCAGCTGAGTTGTGGGCCCTCGGTCTGACTGGTGCTGCCTCTGGCTTGCAGGTCGCACATTCCCCGTCGACCAGTTCTTCCTGGAGGACGCCGTTGCCATGACCAGGTGAAACCCCCGGGGCAGAATGTGTTCTGAGCATGGGTGCAATGTGGCGAGGGGGTCATTGTTGACCACAAGGGGGGGGGCGTCTCCGAATACGCAGGTATGTAATGGAAGACGGCAGCCCGTTCGCACGGTCTGGGAAGCCGGGACCCCAGTCTGGCAAGAAGACCAGTAGCGGGAACCCAGTGGACCAGCTTGGAGACGACATGTGGTCCTTCATGTCCTTCCAGAAGAAGGACTTTGTTAAGGACTCCGTCCCTGACCAGCAGCTGAACCTGCAGGAACTCACGGTCAGATACAAAGGTGAAGCGCTTATGACTTTGTTTGGCATGTAAATCAATCAATGTGCGAGAGAGAGGGCGTGAGGGGGAGGACGTGGGGGGGGAGGACACCGCAGGGCTGCAGCGGGGTGGTGCATGAGAACACCGATTCATAGCAGGAAGGTTGTTGGGTCCAGTCGTATGAAGGACTTTTTCTCCTATTCCCTTGATCCAAAGCATTTAACCTGACTTGTTCGAGTAAAAATACTCAGCTGTATTTTTGGACCAAAGCCTCTGACATTACAGGAGCGCTGGCTGCTTGCAGACAGGATGGTTTTCTGTAAATATGGCACTTGCCAGTGAACAGCGATGCTTTGAAATGCATTTATGAGAGCAGTTTGTATACCTGTTGTTTATACTCCTATTATTTTATGACTGCGTCACTGTTATTAATGTTACACTGGCAAAGAAGATCGAGGGACTGAAAATGGAGGATTTGAAGTAAATTGGCATGTTGTCATAGGAGCATAATTTGCCTGTTTTACCTATCAGTTTATTTTTATAACACTTGAAGTTTGAACTCTGTGTGGATCCGCTGACGTGATCAATGCATGTCGGCCACAGACACCAAGAAGTCTGTGTTGAAGACCCTCGCCTCCATGGATCTCGACAAGATCAACATGGACCTGGTAGAGTGTCTGCTGGAGTGGATAGTGGATGGACACCATAACTACCCACCAGGTGAGACCATAACCTCCCATCACGTTAGACCCTAGCAACCTACCAGGTGAGATCACTCACACAGACATGTGTGTTTTCTTGATGGATCTGGTTGAGGCTGAACTGGAGCTCAGCCTCTCAGAAGGATGCAGGATGAAGCAAAGCGTGATATTTTGGTGGCACCTTCTGGTCAGTGTTGGCCCACCGCATGTCGGTCACTGTCACCTTCCCTGCCCAGGAGCGATCCTGGTGTTTATGCCAGGCCTGAGTGAGATCAAGATGTTGTACGAGCAGCTGCAGTCCAACAGGCTGTTCAACAACCGGAAGGATAAGCGGTACGTAGGAGCTGCGACTTTGAGTAGAGCCTTGAAGGGCAGATTCTTGGGTTGAAGATCTACATCCTGAATCCCTACTACTGAATTCTCACTGGTATTGCTGTCAGTGACTTATTCTTGGTAGGAATGGGCCCAATAATAATGGACTTCACTAATAATAATGAATTAATCTCTTTGCTTGGGTTATATGCTGGTACATATATAGGGTGTAAGTTGCTTGTCCCTTTTCACGACATTTCTGTTGGGCCATTGAAGCCTTTTCATCTAACCCCCCCCCGGCAGATGCGTTGTGTACCCGCTGCACTCCTCACTGACGAATGAGGAGCAGCAGGCTGTGTTCAGCCGCCCCCCCGAGGGCGTCACCAAGATCATCATCTCCACCAACATCGCCGAGACGTCTGTCACCATCGACGACGTGGTCTACGTGGTCGACTCGGGCAAGATGAAGGAGAAGAGGTGAGCTTCACCCCTCTCTCTCTTCATGCCATTGCTTTTTTTCCCCAGGCAGCCCACACTGCTCTTTCCACCCCCCCCCCCCGCCATCTCTAGGTATGACGCCAGCAAGAGCATGGAGAGCCTGGAGGACTCGTGGGTGTCCCGCGCCAATGCGCTGCAGAGGAAGGGCAGGGCTGGCCGTGTTGCCTCGGGCATCTGCTTCCACCTCTTCACCAGCCACTGCTTCAAGCACCAGCTGGCAGAGCAGCAGATCCCGGAGATCCAGCGGGTCCCACTAGAGCAGCTCTGCCTCAGGTGAAGCCCCGCCCACCTGCACAGGCACTTCCTGTAGGACCTGTCACTTCCTGTAGGACCTGTCACTTCCCTGTGTGGCTCAGCGGGCCTGGGCTGTCCCCATGAAGGTCACGTGAAGGTCATAAATGTGCTCAGCAAACATCAGTCACTATGCAGTTCACCTCATGACACACTTGGCGTTAATTTGCGTTAATTTGCGACTTGCAAGCGTGGCAAATTCAGCGTGCTGAGAGAAAGGGCAATGTTTTAGCTACACACCTCTCAAGATGCCCTTCCGCTTCCCACGCTTTCTGCTGCAGGATCAAAGTGCTGGACGTGTTCGCGGAGCGCCCCCTGGAGGACGTTTTCTCGCGTCTGATCGAGCCGCCGCTGCCGGGAGGCCTGGACGCGGCGAAGCAGCGGCTGCAGGACCTGGGCGCCCTGACGCCCGAGGAGAAGCTGACGCCCTTGGGCTACCATCTGGCCTGCCTGCCTGTGGACGTGCGCATCGGCAAGCTCATGCTCTTCGGCGCCATCTTCCGCTGCCTAGACCCGGCGCTCACCATCGCCGCCAGCCTGGCCTTCAAGTCCCCCTTTGTGAGTGGGTTTGGATGCTGTACGCCTGGACTGGAAGGTCGTCGGTTTAAATCCCAGGGTCGGCAGAGCGATGCCACCATTGGGCCCCTGAGCGTGGCCACCTGACCCTGCCTTATCAATTGTACATCGCTTTGGATGAAACTGTCAGCTAAATAAATTTATATAAAATAAATTCAGCATTTAAATTCTGCATGTATATTTTTGTAAATTACACGGTGGCTGGATACATGTGTTTTTTCTAGAGAAGTTATATCAAGGATCTTTTTGTGCTAAATGAAATATTCATTATGAGTATGGTAATACACACGTTTTATAGAACAGGACTGAATTATTATCCCCTGCCCCCCCCCAAAAAAAGCCAGGTTGATTCTGTTGGCCAAGCTGCCCTTAGCTCATCCTGTGTGCAGGTCTCTCCGTGGGACAAGCGGGAGGAGGCCAATCAGAAGAAGCAGCACTTCGCCGTGGCCAACAGTGACCATCTGGCCTTGCTGCAGGCATACAAGGTGCAGCCCTGGGCCATGATGCACTGCATCATTAATGATGAGGGGTGATGCGGGCGTTGCTGGTCATGGCGGAAGCTTTTCATGGGTTAAAAGAAAACGCAGCAAAAGGATATCTGGAAATGTTTGCCATTATCATTGGTACTGTAGAATTCTTTAAACGTACTCTGCATAACTTTATCAGGATCTAAATGGCAATATTTAAACCAGTGGGAGATGGAATGGGGGGATTCCCTAATGTTGCATTGTACACAGGGTTGGTGTGCTGCTGCAAGGAAGGGCAACCAAGCTGGATTCCAGTTCTGCAGGGAAAACTTCCTGTCTGGGAGAGTTCTGCAAGTAAGGCACCTTTGTGAGGTCGGGGGGGGGGCAGAATCTGTCAAGTTAGCTGGGGCAATTCTATGATTTTTTTTAAGGTGGGAGGCATAGGAGGGGCCATAATTCATACAGAGGGACCAACCTTATAATTTGCCAATGAGTAATATGGAGGGGGTACTCCAGCAGCCAATCAGCTTTCAGTGCCCTTGTGGTCTCGCTCTCCTGTATCCCTGCATGTCGGAAGGTGCTTCACTTACCCTGTTGTTGACTGACGTAGATAATAAAGCAGATGAAATATGGTTCATACATAAGTGGCTTCACATTCTGAGATGATATGGTTATGGTGATGGTAGCTATAACTGGGCACCTCCCCCCCAGGAGATCGCCAGTCTGAAGAGGCAGTTTGCCGAGCTGCTGTCGGACATCGGCTTCGTGAAGGAGGAGCTGAAGGCCAGAGACATAGAGCGCTTGTCCTCCCGGGGAACGGACGGCATCCTGGAGGGCACAGGCTTTGAGGTAACATCACTGTGGCCAGCGATTCATGTCACGGCGTCCCTTCAGTGCAGCTCTGGGTACGAGATGCTGAACGTCAGCTGATCCCCGCAGCAGATTTACAAACCGATTCAGGTTGTCAGATTCGAGATTAGTGGGAGCTGCAAGTCCCACTCTCTAACTAGCTGTCCACCTTATCTCCTCCCAGGCCAACCTGAACTCTGACAACATCAAGCTGATATCTGCCATCCTCTGTGCAGCTCTTTACCCCAACGTGGTCCAGGTGAGCAGTGACTGAGGGAACATCAGAGCAAGCTGGCCTTTAATGAAAGGCGACATTTTTTTCCTTAGCGTCTGGGATGTGATCAGCCGCGTCACCGATACTGACTTCCGGCGGTGTCCACTGCCATTCCCTACTTCTCCAGGTGAGGGCGCCGCAGGGGAAGTACAAGCTGACGAGCAAGGGGGCCGTGAAGATGCAGCCGAAGGCAGAGGAGCTGCGCTTTATGACCAAGCGCGACGGCTGCGTGCACATCCACCCCTCCTCCATTAACTACACGGTCAGCATTATCCTAGGGAGGGCTTATCGCAGGTTAGAACCTGTGACACTGAACCTGTCATCAGAAGGCCGCCAGTGTGATGTCACCGTTGGGCTTGGAGTGAGACACTAAACCCTATTTGCTCCAGGGACGGTCTGACCCTCCCTTTTCAATTGCATGTCACTTTGTATAAAATCATATGCTACATAAATACATATTATTACATAATACGTTATAATTATATAGTATTAAGAAGCCACACAGAATGACAACAAAATTTTGGCCCACTGTCTGCTCATATACTGGGTCTTGTAACTGCATTCGGTCATATGCACATGAGCTACCAGCCAAACCATCAACCAGAACAGTAGCAATCTGAGGATATACCATTAACCATCTGTTAGTATTTTTCATACATGATAATTAATGAGCCCTGTTGTTAGTGTACAAATATAGCATATAAATATTAATTGTGGATTCCTCTACGGTAAGGAAGCGTTCCGAATGTCGCAGGGCGGCGAAGGTGTCGGTGAGAGTGACGGAGCTGTGACCACCTTCCATGCCTCTAGGTCCGGCACTACGACAGTCCCTACCTGGTGTACCACGAGAAGGTGAAGACCAGCCGCGTGTTCATCCGTGACTGCAGCATGGCGTCTGTGTACGCGCTGGTGCTGTTCGGCGGAGGACAGGTCAGCATCGAGCTGCTTCGGGGGGAGTTCGTCGTGTCCCTGGACGACGGCTGGATCCGCTTCGCCGCCGCCTCGCACCAGGTGACTGCCGGCCTTGTCATGCTGCAGATGTCTGCTGGAATTCATATGAAAATGTTGATATTTCTCAACCTTAAACCAATACATGCCTGGTTATAATATTCCGCACATCACAGGCTCGTACGAGACAACGCCACAAGCCCTTACATAAGTCAAATTTCATGCAAGTCGGATTTACACCTCCATACCATTCGACGCCTTATAGCAAAAAACACATAAACCAAAAAATACAAGTAATACATATTAAAGAAGACATGTTAGCACTTCTGTAAACTCTGTGTATCTCAGATGTTTCTTGCCTAAGTCTGGATTTATGTAAGTTGAGAGTTGCCTGTGCTTTTGACAACACTAGTCAATACCTGTACACATTCAATAAACACAAATACTTTCAAGCCCTATCAAGGTAAGGAATACTCTTAGTATATTTGCAAGGCACACACTCACACAAATAGACTGACACATGCACTTCAGGGTGCACGCTCACACATGCGCACTTCCACGTGCGCGCTCAGACGTGCACGCTCCCACGTGCACTTCAGGACACACACTGGCACGCGTGCACTCTCCCTGGTGTGTGCACTTACACTCAGTGATTGTCCCTGGTGCAGGTGGCTGAGCTTGTGAAGGAGCTACGCTGGGAGCTGGACCAGCTGCTGGAGGACAAGATCAGGAGCCCCAGCATGGACCTGTGCAGCTGCCCCCGGGGCTCACGCATCATCAGCATGATTGTCAACCTGATCTCCACCCAGTGAATTGTTATTTTAAGTTGTGTGTGATGCTGCACACATCCTGTAATGCGTTTTGAGTCCACATTGGATTTTCTTATTAAGAAATGCCAGTGCAGTTGATGTTTATAAAAAAGTAAGCTATGGGGCTCAGTGACTGTTTCAGGGTTTGTTATGCACGTGCGTTTAAAACGCAGGAGAAGCTTAAATGTTGTGTTCATTCAGAAATTAAAATCGTAGGATAGAGTTAAATTTAGGCAACCGAATATCAGCTGTAAAGGACATTCAAAATGTGCCGTTAAAATTTTTATAATTACATGTGAGATGGTGTCAAAACAGCCTTTCTTTGAATGATTAAGAATGTACAGTGAAGTACCTGATCGCAAAGTTGTGGAGGAAACGGACTGCGACGCACTAATAGCTGAATAATTGGTTTAAACAAAAATCTCATTGAAGTGCCAAATACAATAAAAGCATGTGAATTGTACAGTTCTGCTGTAAACGATATTTAAACTGAAATTACAGCATTCTGGGCTGTGTTTTTTTTTTTTTTTGCCCTTGTGCGTGCTTATGAATAAAACTGCGCCTTGGTAAATTTGCGTATCGAGTCGTATTTCGGTTGCTGACACAGTGATGAAATGACTGACCCGCACATTTCCACGCTATGGTCAGAGATCTTCTCCCGGCAACACATCCCACTTCCGCAGTCATTTCGGCTTCAGCTCTAACCTAGAGACGCCAAAAGGCGCCATCTGCGTTCGCCAATGAAATTTCTGTACAGAAGTTCACAAGAAAAACTTTAGGAAATTAATAAGTAGTTTATAGTGTTGATAATTGTTGAGCTTAAACAAATAATGTTTTGCTCATGGACTATAGAATAAGCGGTAACAGTACATAAATAACAGAATTTAATGAACATACGTTTTTCATTGAAATATTTCACTATTACCACTTGGATGGAAGCAATGACGTGTTGAGCATCACACCCTCGTACGATTTGTGGCGTGGAATTCGGACAGGGATTTTTCTGAAATACAAACTGTTTTTTTCTGGCACTTTGCACGTTTCTTTGTAACTCCGTCATGGTCACTGCAATAAGAACATTCTGCGCAGTGGCCCGCGCGCGCCCCCTCGAGGGCTGAGGACGGGAGCGCGACGGGAGTTGAGACTCTCGCTGCGGCTGGCGCTCTTTAAGCGTCTCTGTCGCCGAGGAGCGGTCGCCGAAGAGCCACCGGCCCGAGTATCATGTCCAGATACGGGCGCTACGGAGGAGGTGAGTGGCGCGCACGCCATGGCATTTTCATTGCATCGGATGCACATTTTATCACATGTATTCACCTTAAGTTATAGCTAAGAAGTGCAATGCAGATTGCAGGCCGTTCGTTGCTTCCCGGGTTGGTTCATTACCAAAAGAGTCTGCTAACGGCGCGAAGAAACTAATCTGTGCAAGTAGCAGGCTAGTTGTAATGGCGGAGTGCTGTTTTTTTTTGTGTGTGTGCATTATCTGAAACTGCCGCTTTTTGGGCGGTTTTTTTGAGGCCGGGTGGCTCACATATTGTCGCCGTGCTAAAAATGCTCGATCATGAACGTGCGGGACAAAAGTCTTTAAAAAAAAAAAAAAATGCGGTGCTGTTCGGCGATGTCGCAATTGCTTCTGCTAAGATGCTAGTCGGCTAAGCTAATGCTAACTGCCCAGCTAGCTAGCCGCCTCACGGACGATCGACCAGCCGCACAATAATCCAGTTTTTTCAGTTAAACCTATCTAAATAAGCCAAATGTAATTTTTTCATAAAAAAGTAAATGTTTTTTTTTGTGATATATTTTACCGAGCCCCCAATAGTTATTCGTTTAGCTTATAACTGCGGTGCGGTGGGCTTTTCAGTACTGAAAATGGATTCTCCCCGAAGCGCGGCTATGGTTAGTTTGCTAAGTGAAACGGCCTCACGAGTCAAATAAACTATCCGTCTTTTTCTGCTCGACTGGATATATCAAAATGATGATAAACATGTAAAGTATTTCCAACGATGGTGTATTTCTAGCTGGTTAACCTCACATCCGGCCTTAACATTGCAAACCCCTTTGACTAACCATTTACCCTCATGGTCTAGAGTGAAACTCATGGCTTTTGGTGGGGATTACAATAAGATTTCTTGTCCTTTTGTCCAGTAACTAATGATACATGTTTTTTTTCCTACTTTTGCAATGAATAAATTGGAGACATAGCTTGAAATTGAGTTAGTTTTCGTAAGATACATATATTTTAATGATTTAAACCCTTTAAACACATTTATGTAGCAATAGTAACTTTAAAAAGTGCGCCTATTATGGTGAACATTTCTTAGGGAATCGGTTTTTGTATCATTGAACAGCTGAGAGTCCATTTAAAGGTATGGAGCAATGAAATGGCCACAACTTTATGTATAAAATTCTGGAACCTTCGGCCAGCTGCCAGACCGTTGGCATGGTTTTGTCCCTGGATATCGCTATAAACCGCATTAGAAGTACGGCCCGCATACAGGCCTCGACACGCTGTGCGCCGTGGATGAGCAGACTTCCCGCTCAGGCGGGCCGCCCGCCCGCGTTCGGCCTGGAGGAAGTGCGCGCGCCAGCTGTCTGTATGGAGATGCGCAGCCGCCCCAGCTCGAGAACAGCACGTGGCTTTGTCCCGAACCTGTGTCGCCAGTTAGTGGCTCGCCTTTACCAACTACCCTTGCAATCTCTGTGGCTTTCTACCTAATCTGATTTTAAGGTTTATTTTTTACAATTTATTATTCAAAATATAGTCGTGTTAACCTTGTATATGGGTTTGACTTGCAACTCGGCACTAAAATCAGGGACAACAGAGGCTTATTGGTGTGGGATGTGAGTAAAAGTCTTAAATTCCTTATAATTCAAAGAGCAAATTACCTGTGGACATGTGCTGTGAAGGATGCAGACGTGTTTCACCCAGTAACCATTTTAGGTGTTAGTTACAGTTTTTAATTAGGTTGATTTATGTACCGTGAACTTTTGATATTTTAAATTTCAAGCCTTATTTTCCTCTGTGCTATACTATACGTGTGATTTCTGGATGAATAATATCACAATGGTATGGTTAGTGAGGGTGCATTAAGACTCATTTAAATTGCATCTGAATTATGATAAAAGAGCTTCTGCCGTTTTGAAGTCAAGGCTGGATTACTGTCTGTTTTGGTTGTTGTGGGAGAAAAGCAGCATTATAATTGTGAATATCGTAAGATGGACTTTACTACCCATTGAAGCCATATATGGAGTTACTGTAGGGTAGTAATATGCTAATCAGGTTGCTGGCCTCAAAACAATTGCCCCTAAAGGATATTAAAGTAAGAATATTGTCTTAAGGTTTAAATCCTTATTGACTTCATAGTGCAACTGCTCTATGAAAATGTCAACATGGCCTTTAAGAAACAGAGATTAAGCATCAATGTTTTCATTAATGGACCTGAACTGGCCCATACATCCACAACTGGAGTTGCAGCGCCCCTTTTTTTATTTTTCCTTCCAGAAACTAAGGTTTACATTGGTAACCTTGGGACAGGTGCGGGGAAAGGAGAACTAGAGCGAGCATTCAGTTATTATGGACCTTTGAGAACAGTGTGGATTGCTAGGAATCCTCCAGGGTTTGCCTTTGCGGAATTTGAAGATCCGAGGGATGCAGAAGATGCTGTCCGCGGCCTGGATGGAAAGTAAGTGGATGGCTCCGGGACCCAGAGGTGGCGGTGGTCATGACCGCTGGGCCTGGTGACTTAGTCTGGGAATCCACTCCATCTACCAGGTCTGATGATTAGGGTAACCCTAAGCACCAAAAGTACTCGAAGGGTGTGAGGAGGACGTTGGCTGGTCAAGCGAAGTAATTTGCTCTTTGGAAATACAGAGGCATTGTAGGTTTTAAAATATGTGTAGTTGAATATTCACTATCGGATTGATGCATTCAGGTTGAATTGCATGAGGCTGCATGGAGGAAATGCTCTATAAATATACACTTGCAGGTATTCTACTCATTGTCAGCAGTATTTGGGTGCAAGCCAGGAAAGAAGGGCCTCAGTGAAAAGCAAAGAAATTAAATACTCGCATATTTGGTTCACTTTAGTTGATGGAATATTTGGTCTACTATTATATTACGGGCTGACAGGGAAAACAAGCAAATACTGCATACATTTATATATGTGAGTCAGAAAATGGTACCTTTTAATACTTTCAGCATTAAACTTGGTTCCACTGAGGATTTTCATTATACAGATTTCCCATTTTGATGCTTTTATTCCTGTGCATTTAAATATGCAGATACACTTAACAGAACTGAAAGAAGGAATATAATGGATTTGTTAATGCAAGCACTAACAGAGGTAAATGTACTACATATATCAAATGTACTTCAGGGTGATAATTTAATTCCTTGTTTCACGTGAAGGAGATAAGACCCAGACTTTGTGTTGATTTGTTCTGATAGTAAAATATCTGCTCAGGGTGCTCAAAAATGACGACTCAAGCTTTTGATCACCTTCGTGCTTTTATCCTAAAGGACTGGCATTTCACAACAATGGAATGAAATTAAATTAAATTAGATGGAATGAGTAATTCTCCCTATTTTCTATTATCACCTTGGTTGTTTTCATTTATTGCAATGTTCCCATAAATAAAGTGAGCGCAGATAAAAATTATCTGTGAATTCTGATCACCCAATAGCAGAATTTACCACTTCATGTGGGATTGATGGAAGAAGTGGGATTCCTGTCAGGGCCTGGATGAAAATAGACCCATGAGTCACTGCATCACCAAAACCTACAGATAGCAACATTTCAGCATTTTTGTGCTAGTAGTTTTGCCCCCCTAAGCCTAAGATGGCTGCCATATATGTTGTAATCACTGTGGTTGGCAAGCGGGCCACAGTTTTAACCCTGCCCAGGGCCACTGGCTTGCTGCAGCCTACTCACACAAGAGCACCAAATCCACATGTGTAGCAATGAGACGGGCGCCTGGCCCATAGCAAACTTGAAAGCAACATTTGCAGGCATTTGGCCTTTTCGCGCCTTGTGTTCCAGTGATAGCAGAAGGTTGGCTGGAACCCAGAAAACTCAAATGAGCACAGTGCAGCGTCTGCTGCGGCTCCTTTGGGATTGGCGCCCTTGCCATACAACATAGTCTGCATGGAAGCTGAGGGAAAACCGAGGTCTCTAAATGTTTCTTGACGTCTTTCACTGTCTTCCGGATTGTCAGGGACACTGTTTGTTCGTTTCAGGATAATCTGTGGGTCCAGAGTTCGAGTCGAGCTGTCTACAGGAATGCCGAGGCGCTCTCGGTACGACCGCCCCCCCATCCGGCGGCCTTTTGACCCCAACGACAGATGCTACGAATGTGGCGAGAAGGGTCACTATGCCTATGACTGTCACCGTTACAGTCGACGTCGGAGGAGCAGGTAAGTGCGCTCCCAGAATGCACCACACCTTGTTTCATACTTAGCTTGAGCTACTCTGGCTAAAGTTTAAAAAAATAACAAATCATGATAATGATAATACTGACATTAGCGTGTGTTTATGCAAGCGAACATGTTAGAATTACTAGTTTGATTTGCTGTTTCTGACCTTTTTGCCTTTTTTTCTTTTTTTTTTTTTCTTTTTCAAAAATAACATTCTTGAAATGCTGCTGCGATATTAATCACCCACCTGATCAAAACCTTTCAGGTTTCTCCATTTGAGTCGCTCGTCTTGGTTGAGAGTGTCAAAGGCCTTTTCGGTTTCGTGAGACGCCTAGCGAATTCGACACTCATGGTCCTTCTAGACCTTGAGGTGACCCGCATAGGAAGCCAGACCACTGTGAGCACTTGCCACTTTTAGCCACACCTTAAGATTTCATAGAGGGCAGAGAACCCACTTGCGACCCCAAAGACTGCCAGGCTGATAAATTTGGCTATCGATCTGGGCCTCGGTCCGTAAAGAGGAACAACCCGGTTGACCACGGTCCTGTCTAGAAAAACCGCCCTGCATCTATCAAGCCTCACCTTGAGCGATTTGGCTGTCAGTGCGATCATCGTTAGATTGAAGAACGCGTCTAGATGCAGAGAACGGCTGATAGATGCTGCTAGATCTCCTAGACCTTGGTCCAAAGAGGGTCGACCTGCAAACTTGCAAGGTTTATTTTAAGTATCAATCACTGTTTTTTGTTTCTATGTCAACCTTTAAGAATAATGTGATTTACTTACTAGACAAAAAGACTTGTCTATTTCATACAGAATGGAAACATCCTAGTCTGTAATATATGTGACTCATTCATGTACTGTATGCAAAGTACTCATAGTGATGTATTGTTTTGTGTAATAATCTGAGCCAGCCACAGGGCTTAGCCTTGAGAAGAGTAACATTAGAGCAGTGAGCGGAACAGGAGCAGATGGACTTGGTCTGCTGCTAAGCAGTAACGGTCTTTCATTTCATCGTGCTGTCTCTGGATGTGGTCAGGTCTAGGTCCCGGTCCCGGTCACACTCCAGGTCCCGGGGAAGGAGGTACTCCCGCTCGCGCAGCCGGAGCCGTGGAAGGAGGTGAGTACCAAGGGCAGGGAATTTCACGGCACGTTACACAAGTCGCTGATTGGCAGGCATGATAATCCTGTCCGGTATGACTTTCAGAGGGTTGTTTGCTGTTCTTATTTGTAGAGCCTGATGGACATATTTGTTTATCACAGGGCTGTTTGTCCACCCTTAGCTCTCTGCATAACGTGGCTGTATTTTGAGCCAAGGGATATTTTCTTTAGAGAAACGAGTCCAAAGTGCAGTGATCCTGTCTTCAGGTGGGCATTGGGTGGTCCCTGCAGTAGGCTGCAGCGGACTTCAGTAGAGTTTTAAGTCATCTGTCATTTTGTAACTCTTTGTGCTCCAATGGGATGTCATGCAAAATCTCGTCCACCATTCAGATTCCTTCCTCCTGTAATGAGTGTAACCAGCATGTTTCATTAGACTATTAAGGCATATTTAGCTCGATAGCGACGTTTTATTGATTACCATTTTTAGCTTGGTAGCAACATCTTTAATAATTATTACCTTAATAAATTGATATTAGGGATTTTGCTTTGCTGATATGTATTCAATTACAGACTAATTATATTACCTGTAATCCAAACACACATTTTTATATTTTTTAAAGCATTCGTCAGTGCATGTTATTAATGTAAATACTTGCTGTCACAATTGAGTTTTGTGTTCTTTGATTTTTGGCTACCTCTTTCATGAAAAACGCTTTTAAATGATCAAATCAGAGTAAGAAATTACACTATTTTAATATACCTGAAAAGTTCATCTCAATTGCTCAACACAAAAAAAAAACTTTATTTTATTGTAACATTATTTTTGAGAAGTTCTCAAGTTTGTGAGAATGACCTATTTTTAAATATTTGTTTAACTTATAATCCGTACATATTACACATTTCCACCAAAAATACTACTTTCAGGCAAGTATAAGCCAAATTACAATGCTTTCAGGAAGGCATTGAAAAGGCATATACTACGTACATATAATTGCAGGTACTCAACAGGCAGAATGACACATTAATTACATCCAAGTTTAGTCACAACCTAAACTCTCACATTGTTTACAACCAGGATGGAGTGTTATTGGACTCTTAAAAATATTTTCTCTCATATTTAAAAAATAACACATTATGATTTTAACGCTTTGCTTCAACGTGGTAAATATCTCAGCCCTAATAACGCTATTTTAAAGCATTCCTAAACGTATTTTATTAATGTAGATGCTTGCTGCCTCTTTCGCGCTAACTTCAGTCGAAACTTCATCGGCGAACATCGACGTCACAGGAGGGAGGAATTGGGACGGTGGGAGGGATGACGGCTCCCTGTCATGAAACATTTTTTCACTGCAACCATTGTATTATAGGTCAAGATCGTTTTCTCCCAGGAGATCTAGATCTGTAACTCCCAAGAGATCCAGGTAAGCCTACATTGTTGGTGTCCAAACACCTTTTTGGGTCAAGGTCAAAGAGGCAGTTCTAGTATTTCTTAAAAATCCTTTCATCTGCAGGTCAAGAGCAAGATGTAGATCAAGGTCCAGATCAGGCTCTCGTCGAAGGAGCAGGTACGTTTGGACTTTCTCTTATTCTTGAGTTTTGTCTTCACCAAGGGACACGTGACTATCACCACAGATTCCCCTCGGACTCCAAATACTTTTAAACTCACCTTAGTTGCTTTGATATTCGGATTATTAGTTCCGTTTCTTGGTGTCGTATCTGCCTTTCCCCATATCTTGACCATTGTGTTTATGTATGAAGGAACTAATGTCATTGTGATCATAGGAGAAAAGCCATCTTAAACAAATCATTCATTGAAAGAAACGCTTGACCATTGATCAAAAATGTAAAGTGATTAAGCATACCCTGTGCCTTCCAGGTCTGGCTCGGGGGGTAGATCCAAATCCAGCTCTCCAAACAGGAGGTGAGCCCTCTATTACACATAAACACGGTTCTAATCGCTCAGTACCATTCCCAGTGGTACCACAGTCTCCTGGATAGGTTCCATGCCATTGGAGAATGTTGAAGATGGTGTCTGTATTTGGAGAGGTTATTGTATAAGGCATACAGACTCTTGGGACGGATATATGGAGCCCAGTATTATAGGATTCAGGGATGTGTTTGTTGTGGAATATCTTCAGTGGTACCAAAGCATACTTACATTTAGGACATGTCTGAACTTGTAGCCACCTAACTGCCAAAATTATCCTTGCAAACTGTTTTTTCCCCTTCAGCCAATCGAAATCTAGATCATCACCTTCAAAACGAAGGTATGCACCTATGTAATTTGTGTTAGTGCATGCTATCATGTCATGATTACAAAAAAATGACAGAATGATGAAAACGTAATTAAGTTAATGCAACATTGTTTCTGATTGCAGCCGGTCCCCTTCAGGAAGCCCTCGCAGGAGTGAGAGTCCAGAGAAAGATCATTAAACTTTTATCAAGGTGTATCTTTTAGAAATTTAAGTGATTTGCTTACATAACAAGGGAATCTGAGGATTTAATTTGAGTGTTGGTTTATGTTGGTTTATGTTCTTCCTGGTTTGTACTGCATTTTTTTTTTTATTTTCTCTAGTTTTTAAACATAAAAACATGGTAGGCAAACTGGATCCCAGACTTTTTTTAAGGGATACATTATATTTCTATTCTACAAGTGGTTTGTGATGCTGTAGAAAATGTGTATGGGCTTTTTTGTATGTTTACATTAAAGTTGAAACTTCTAGCTGAACCATCAGAGTGGAAGATTCTCTACGTGAATTTATTTTTGTCCGTGTGACATTGCAAAATTACAATGTAAAGAAAAAAGATGAATTAAAAAAACCAACTTAAAAAATGGCCAGTTGAAAAGTAGACAAGCAATATTACTCTTGTTGACTTTAATTCAATATGTATGAAGTGTAGCAGTTGTGTGTGTGTGTGTGTGTAATGTATAATTATTTATGTCCAGTTGAAAATGTAATAATTGCAGTGCAGGGCTGCCCCCCCCCCCCGCCATGTGTACATCAGGACAAATATCCTAAAGGACCCATTAGAACAACCACTAAAACGCATTACGTAAGTAAACATAGCACTTTGTACTGTTCAGGCATACAGGAAGCCTGTAGGGGGAGCTGGAGTCCTGAAGAAAAATTAACACATTTTATTCTTCCTGTAACAGAATGTTCCAAAACATCGCTTACATTGACGCTTTGTATTCGGAGATGTGGTTTAGTCAGATGAACCTTTTAAGAATGAGCTTATGCGTGGGCGTATTATGAATATACATGGATGACCGTCCTGCTTTTCAAGCATGTCTCCACTTAAACCCTGCTGTGGTACGTGGTGTTATTGTTAAATTTGAATTTGTACCGCTTGGTTCGTCGGGTGCTTCCGGTCCCGTGACCTGCAGATGGAGGATGTTCATCGCTTGCCGCGAGGTCCGGCAAGTCCGACACTCCAGGTACGGCAAGACACCGTGTCACAATAATAATCAACCTTTATTATTGTAACTGCATAGAAAAGGTTAGGCCCACTACACAGGTCCGGTCACGCACCATTTACATTACTCTCCCTTTTTTCATTAAGAAGAAAAAATTATCGCAATTATGTTCAGTACATCATCCACAAAGTAATTTGTACACAGGACGCCTATGAACACGATGCGGTGTCTGAACTGCACTGGGATTAGACGTATGCCAATTCTGTTCCATAATATGTCGTTATCTTAGCTGAAAGGACCTGGAGACTTTTTCCCTCCCAGCTACTAATTTATTTTATTGGCCTTATCAGCTATGATGAGGTCGTCAGCTGCCTCCTGTGTCTGACCTTCAGAATACACCAGTGGACGTTAATGTTAATTAGATTGTGCTAGCTTTTTTTCTTCTTCAGAGAATTGTAGCGGACATCTGAGTCTATCGATCTGTACAGGTAATTTGAGATTTACCGAAAACCATCCAGTTTGGATGGATGTACGATGATTTGATGCTTGTGGGTGATAGTGGTGGAATCGATAAGCTACAGGTGTGAGTTGTGTAACTTAAGCTCATTGAGGCAGTTTTATTCATGCAAAGGAGTTAACACCTACGACTCAGGTGAGCAAGTATTTACGCTGAGTGGGATGCCCCCCCCTCGCTCATCTTCGGGCGCCCTCACGCAGTGCTGAAGGTGAAACGTGTGGTGTGATTGTACTCCTCTCCTGGCCTCAGCAGTGCATCAGGAAATTGGGGCTGTTAAAAAGGGAAAAAAAAAACACGCGATAAAGGAATTGGAAGGGGGGGCTTGTTCTATCACACACAAGTCAGGCCTGAGTGGGAGGAGGTAGGGATGACTAGCAGGACACTCCTTTGTGATTTCACTGATGCATCACGCTGTGTTATGCTCCGCGGACAAAAGGAAGTGGACACTACGGCAGTGGGAATGATTCTATTCTGGATGCAGCGGGCCAGATGTTTTATTGCGATGGTCATGCTTGATCTCGGTGAGGTAGATGTAAGTGCCGTCAGTCCACGCTAAATAAAACTTGCTAAATGTAAAGCCAGCTATGGTAAATTGTATTTATCAACATTTCAGTAGAGGGAATCCATCCACACTGCTGAGGAACTTAATTACTTTTGATGTGACACTATAAACTGGTGTGGTCGAAGTCACCACTGTAAGTAGTACTCATGGGCTTTGACCTCATACCCTCAGTGGTGCAGGGGAAACCCTGTCCTCTACTGCCAATGCGTCTGAGCTCCTAGCACCTCTCACCTCTAAATCACCTCATGCTGGGCAGAAATGGCTTCTTACCCAGTTTTCCCAGCGTGGAGAAGCTCCTAAGGCTTTCGGATGATGCCATCTGTGAGGGAAGAATGAGGAACGCGGAGAATTCCATGCAGAAGATTGGCCGGCTAATCAGCCAATTAGCCATCTGCTGCCGTTGTCTCACTTTTATGTGCCCGCTGCATGTCCTGGCTCACTCTTTGTTTGTTGCTACGCAGCTGAATGGCATTCTGACAGTCCATGCAGGGTTATGTAACACAGGAGCTGAGTGAGTGTGTGTTTAATAGGGCCCGTGGTGGTTGCTATGGATCTGCAGTCACAGAGGTGGTTGCTAGGGTATGGAATGGAGTCTGAGATGACCGGTCTCCTGGACTCCCACCTAACGAGAGAAGGTATTCAGTTGGCCCCAACAAATGAGGGCCTTTCAGACTCCTCAGGCAAAGGGATGAAGGGAGCGTTCCCCATTTTTACCTAGAGGCAAACAGTCATCCCATGTGGCCAGCAGTGTAAACGCCTCGACAATCAGAAGGTCATCAGGGGGTCATGCTGTAGCATTACTGAGCGACTTAATTAGCCGGCACTGCTTCGGTATCGGCCCCCACTGTATAAATGGGCAAGATGGTAAGTGGGGCTCAAGGCAATGGAGAACCCTTCAATCGAGCAAACAGTTAATGGAGCCTTATGTTTGGGAAGGGGACTGACATCTGCATGGGCTATTGCATTAGGGTGATATGGCGGCCTGGAAGATCATCCCGTAATTAAGGTTAAGGAACTTCTAGGCTGTGACCAAGTGAAAAATAATCCCACCACCAACAAAAGGTGACGATAAGACTGCTTTTTGTTTATTTTTTTAACAGGTCATACCTGTTGGCCCACAGGTCTTGTGGTGGCTAAAATGTGGTCGTTCAGCTAATCCTTTGCAGTCCTGTGACCCATACGTCCATCGCCTCTGCCTTGTTTCCCACAACCGTTCCTTTTTATACATTTGTTATATATGCAAACTGGGGCACCTCCCAATCTGTTATTCACCTGTTCACATTGTTCCTGAGCTCAGTCCAATGCAAATCTCGGCTGCGCGCGGCGGCTCAGAGCAGCCAAGAACACGGACCAGCGGTGGCCCCGGCCGAAGCACAAAGGCCATAATTACTGAGCCGAAAATCGCCGGCCATTAGCGTGCGGGGACCGGAAATGCTGCGCTGTCAGGCCGCCGCAGTCCACGATGTCACACACCGAGCGCAGCTTTGTTTTCGGTGAGCTGCTGCTGCTTCCTCCGGGCGAGCCGGAAAACGCCGGGCTCTCGAGCGCACACACAATAACGCGCCATCGACAATCACCCGCTGTTATTGTTAGACACCTATTAGCTCTTAAAGGCCCCGCTGTTGTCAGCTGCAAAGCGACTTAAGCGTGAATGTCAATTGAAAGTGCCAGACGCAGAGGGATGGTTTGACAAATTGCCGCCATTGTGAGTGTGTGTGGGGATGGGGGGGGGGTTTTGGGGGGTGCTTTGATGCCGGACAGAAGGAGGAGTACTTTGGACATCTCTGTCACACCAAATTAGGCTGGTAATATTCTATCGTATTGGACTAAAGGAACAAGCAGGATTTCACATAGAAAAGCAAACAAACATCTGAAAAATCTGTGCTGTCGGACTGTCGGAGCCTTAGGTATGGATGAGCCCTGTGTGCTAAAACCTTTATAAATGATCTTCTAAGCTTCTGAAGAACCAAAATGGCCTTTTGTTTAGCTGTCACTCAAGCTACAAAATGTGTGATTTCCATCCCAACATACTGGAGTGAGGTCTGAGCACGGTCGCCATCCCTGCACCACATATCCCCTGAGCAACAGGGGTCACTTGCCCCACAAGGTCCCGAAACACAAACGATGACCGATCCTCTACGGCACCGGTGCCACGACGCAGGTGAACAACAAAGAGGGTCCTGGTTTTGGCTGTGGCGCGTTTACAGCTCCATAAATCTTCCACGGCTCCCATTACATGAGAGCCATTAAACAGCCTGATGGAGGTGAACAACTGCCATGATAAATTAGTTGTGCGATGACTTTTAGCATGGAAACTGTTAAAAAAGGGCAAGTAGAAATGGTCATTAAAACTGTAATGTGGTTGCTGGCAGCGGCTGACGCTCTAATCCTCCGTCAGCTGCCCTCCCTCCTTCTGCACTATAAGTGGCTGGAATTATTTTACGTCGATTTCATCATTTGACTTTCAGCAATGCAGTGAAACCCAAACCCGTTAATGACGGCGCTCGCTTTCCGAAGCCTTTTGAGGGTTTCTGCTTGCTTGGTTGGGGTAGTCCATCGTACCCAGTGATGACTTTCCTTCATATTGACGGTGTGTTCTTTGGCTGTATAGTCCAGTCCTTCGTCTACAAATTATTATTGCACACTGAACGGGTAAATTCTGGATTAGACACTCCTGAGCCATCCTAATAACACGCTGACACCAGCACAGTTGGCACTCAGCGATTGTAACCTCCAGGATCTTTCAGCTTGTCCTAGCGAGCACTTCTGAGCAGGGTACTCGGTCACTCCATGCAATCCCCAAGATTGCTGGGAGCGCTCCAGCAATCTTAGCTGGCAGCTTTATGTGACCCAGACTTCACGGCTGTATAGGGGAGTGGTAATTCAGATGCCTTTATAGGTGGCAACTTTAGCATGCAGATGTAGGTGTAGGTTATTTTGAAATCCCTTTGCTCATTGCTGAAAACAGCAGAGGTTTGTTTTACTCGATTATCATGGTCAATGCTACAGCCCATTGACAGACTAAAGATATTTAAAAGATAGTACTATCGTGAGAGGTTGACGTTATAGTGAAGGCAGGAGTAAGGGGTCTGGACCTCCATTAACAGTCTTAGTGGTGTTAACTGTCAAGCCCAGTCTGCTGTAAACCTTCACAGCGACAGCAAGGATGGTCTGCACATGTTCTGGGGTGTGAATCACAAGCGCACAGTCGTCAGCATTCTGCAGCTCAACGACCAGCACTGCGG